TGTAAAAATTACTGATAAATTATTGATAAGTATTTATTGGAAATTTGCATCTAGCCCATTAGACCTCGCTATGATAATGACCAATATGTTAGCACTGCCACACCCCTAATGCTAATTGATATGACCATTACTTACAGTATAATCACAAATAGATTTATAGAGTGATCCCAAATCAAACTGAAGCCACTTATCGATGACAGCCCTCTGTTGCGAGTCATGAGGGTATAGCTGAGTGTCGGGCGCGTACTGATTGCACAGGTATGCCATAATGGCTCGACTCTCCCACAGTGTCAGGTCATCGTCGACCAGTACAGGTATGGTATGGCTGGGGTTTAACTGATATAATAACAAGACAATTAACATTACAAAAACAATATACCGCACAATATAAGGCATTTGATTAAATATACAATTAAATACATAAAGTAATAAATATTGATATCAATGCATACCTCCAGAAACTCGGGTTTCAATTGTTCCCCTTTGGTGAGGTCCACGTGTTTGATATTAACGGCTATATTGAGGTGTTTGGCGACCATTAGCACAGCCCTCGATGGCGGCGATTCTGGCATATAGTATAANAAAGAGATCACAAATTCACAGATCAATGGCTTTCCCGACTATATTAGACTCCAGTCCTTACAAGAGGTCGAGAAAACAGGTACTCAAACGTCGGACATACAGTTCCAGACACCCAAACCGGAGGACCCTTACGTTATAATGTATACTTCGGGTACGACGGGTACTCCCAAGGCTGCCATCGCGACGCACCGGCAGATGGTTGACGGGTCGGCTAATGCCCTCTTAGTTGTGGTCAAAGACGTGATCTCCGACAGCCGTAACCACACGTATATTGCTTTCCTGCCATTGGCTCATGTCTTGGAGCTAACCATCGAGTTCTTCCTATTCTATGGTATTATTTAATAGTTAGCCTGGTTGTGTTTTTAGTATATATAATACCAATTTTGTTATGAATTATCAGGTGGTGTGCGGATAGGGTACGCCTCGCCATTCACTCTGACAGACTCAGCGCCCGGTTTAGTAAAGGGACAGAAATGTGATATTAAACTACTTCGCCCGACAGTCATGACTACCGTTCCGCTAGTGTTGGACAGAATCTTGAAAGAAGTTTACGACAAACTCAACGCCCGAACCCCCGTTTCCGGAGACTTTTTCTCTTACATAATGGCCTACAAATCTAAATGGACTCAAAAGGGCTACGAGTGCGCCATTGTTAACAAATTGGTTTGTAGTAAAGTTCAGCAACAATTAGGCGGTCGACTCAAGATTATGATAGTGGGCGGCGCCCCCCTCAACGGCACCACTCAGGCCACCATTAAAGCGGCGCTCGATGTCACACTGGTGCAGGGTCAGTCTTGTTTTCGCAGTCTTTAGCATTTTATATTTAATTTATTTGAAATGTAAATTTCAATGAAAGAATTTGAAATATTATTTTTGTTTGTTTTGATTAACACTTTTGAGACATTTCTTGTATATATTAGCAAAACATTACTAAAAGAATTTTATTTTTACTTCACTGAAGGCTATGGAGCGACAGAGACAATGGGCGCTGTTTTGTGTAAGCTAGCATATTCTTGAAAAATATTTTAAAACATAAATTAATAAGTATTTAATAACACAGGTATGGACTTCGACGACCTATCATATGGTCGAGTGGGGTCACCCCTTCAGGGGGTAAAAGTGAAATTAATAGACTGGGATGAGGTAAGTATTCATGTTATGAACTCTAATCAATTAGATGTTTATATCGGCTATGATTTAATTGAAAGGGTGGATATCATCGGTCAGATCAGCCCAACCCTAGAGGAGAGATACTAATAGGAGGCGATTCAGTGGTTGTGGGTTACTATAAGGCACCGGAACAGACTCGGGAGGCATTCCGAGTGGACGAGAAGGGCGTCAATTGGTTCTACACGGGAGACATCGGAGAGGTCTATCCGGACGGCACCTTCAAAATCATTGACCGCCGCAAGGATTTACTCAAATTGCAAAACGGAGAATACATTTCACTCGGAAAAGTGAGTTTTTAGTCATATTTTGTTAGTTACTATGGGATGACAGAAATTCTTGAATTATATTGTATGTCTCAAATCTAGTGAATAGTAATAGATCATCCCCTTGATTAATTGAAATGTTGTCAGGTATCAAATGAAATTTGCATACTAGCATTAAAATGTTTTCGTATTTACTTGAATACAAGCATTTTATGCTAAATTATGATTAACACTTATGTAAAACATGTTGACTGAAGTTATTGTAATGCAAAAGTTAACGGTTTGCATTCACAGAATCTAACTATTTATATGACTATTTCATGGATTTTGTTTAATTGTGAATATGATTGAGAATACTATTTGTTTGATGTAATCTTGAGTTCGCATCGATATCTCAGATGAGAGTGAAGTCCTTGAGTTTGTCAATGATTTAAAATCTTTTCCATTTATACTGAATATTAATTTTGCAAACATTTAACAATTTTGACATTTAATTTCGCAATGTATGTGCAAACCTGACGGCTATAATTAACACGAGTCTCTCCCCCTCTACTAATCAAACTATTTTATGATTTAAATCCATTGAATTTGTAGGAATTTACCCAAATGTCAAATTATTTTCAAATATTCATTTAAAATATTGATACAAAATTAAACAATAGAATAAACGATGTAAAAATTAAGTTTTTAATTACTATTAAATGATTTGTTACAGAATTTAAATATTTTTTGTATTTAATGAACAGATCGAGGCGTTAATGAAGTCGTGCCAATACGTGGACAACATATGTGTGTGTGGGGGCACCTATAGCAACGATCTGACAGCCCTGGTCAGTCCAAACCAGAAAAATCTACTCAAACTGTCCCAAGACTTGGGCCTAAAAGACGCACAAATGACAGATATAGTGAGCAATATTGAGGTCAACAAAAGGGTATTTCAGTCTATTGTACAGACGGGACAGTCAGCGGGAATCAACAAAAAGGAGATACCGGTGCGCATTAAACTGGTGGCCGACGAGTGGACGCCCGACAACGACATGTTGACCGCAGCCATGAAAATGAAGAGAAGAAATGTGGAGAAGAGATATAAGAAAGAAATCGATAGCCTCTTCACAAACGATGATATCCTTAGATATAATAATAATAACAATAATAATATAAAGTCAGACAATAGAGTCTAAAAACAATGGACTATTAAAAAGACAGTTTAAATACAGTTGTATTGCATTTAGTTTTGTATTCATTGGGTTTTTTACGAAACCTTTGCTCAAAATAATCGTTTTTATTTAAAACTATAATTTAATTTTATTTTAAGACCACACAAATGATTTTACTATTAATATACTTATTCACAATAATTTTATCATAACTACTATACGATGTGATCATAATTTACCTGTTTCCCGATTTTAGTGTAAAAAACTAAATTTTCATTTTATGTGCAATAAAATCAATTAATTATTTATATTTTTTGCTAGATTTTATGTCAGAGTATTTTAATTTAATAGATTTTTTTTTGTTTTGTTGTATAAATATTGTTAGTTATTTGGTTACAAATTCATTTGTCTGAACAGAATTGCATATAATGTTTGAAAAGTTGTATTTAATATCAAATAAAAGTGTTTATAAACTTTTTAAGTACTATTCAATGTCTATGCGATGTGATTATAACTATGGTAGCAATCAAGTGATTAGTGCAAACATTTTTACACTGTCAAAATTACAATCAAATCCACTAATAATAACTATATTAAATTTAAACACATTTAAAATTTCGTAATCATTTTACATATTTAAAATTATTATGAACATATAAGTAAACATTTTAAAACAACAATAATAATAATTTTGCAAATCATTACATTTGTCTTATACAGAAAACATTTCATAATATATTTATGCATAAAACCATATTTCAGTAGTGAATAAAAAGTAGAGATAAAAGGTTTTTTGTGTAGGTGCTATAAAATCCATTTATGACCTAAATTGGTGCTGAATAAGACATTTATTATCTAATTGTCTTAAGTCATAGCGTAAGAAAATTATAAAAAATTTCATTCAACACATTTTTATGTCTAAATATTTGGCTATTATTTGAATACTTTTAATATAAACATATTTTTGAAAAATATACAATTAGTGCCAAAATGCCGATCGACTTATACTATATGCCAGAATCGCCGCCATCGAGGGCTGTGCTAATGGTCGCCAAACACCTCAATATAGCCGTTAATATCAAACACGTGGACCTCACCAAAGGGGAACAATTGAAACCCGAGTTTCTGGAGGTATGCATTGATAGCAATATTTATTTATCATTATATTTATTACTTTTTGTATTTTAATTGTATATTTAATCAAATGCCTTATATTGTGCGGTATATTGTTTTTGTAATGTTAATTGTCTTGTTATTAATATATCAGTTAAACCCCGGCCATACCATACCTGTGCTGGTCGACGATGACCTGACACTGTGGGAGAGTCGAGCCATTATGGCATACCTGTGCAATCAGTACGCGCCCGACACTCAGCTATACCCGAGTGATTCGCAACAGAGGGCTGTCATCGATAAGTGGCTTCAGTTTGATTTGGGATCACTCTATAAATCTATTTGTGATTATACTGTAAGTAATGGTCATATCAATTAGCATTAGGGGTGTGGCAGTGCTAACATATTGGTCATTATCATAGCGAGGTCTAATGGGCTAGATGCAAATTTCCAATAAATACTTATCAATAATTTATCAGTAATTTTTACAATTGCATAATAGTTTAAAATAAGTGACCATCACACAATTTTTTGGTGATATAAAATAGGCAGTAATATGAGTAAATAAAATAGTCTAAAATACTCAGTGCAATTATCATACAATTAAATATGCATTAAATTCGCCACATATTTATCTATTAAATTCATATCTCAGTTAAGGTCACAATAATTTTGATGACTTTTAAGTATTATTTATTGAATACCAGAGTGTTTTTCACAACACATTAACTCAATGATAACATATAGTATACCTGTGCTGGCAGTGAATGAATGACATTACAGAATGCATTTGATTGGCATTTGATAAGCATTTGCATTGCATTGAGGAGCAGTTAAAACAGCACTTAATTGAAATGAATCACAATATTCTCGCAATTCATTTATAGTAAACTGAGTCTCAATTATACAGTAAATCTTAAGATAAAGTGTAAACACTTCTGTATATTTGATGACAATTCATAGATATCTTATACCCAACGACAGACGCATTCAATTAATTTTATTGATATTTTCAGATAATATTTACTTAAATGCTCTGAAATAATAGCTATTTATTAGTAGCGATAAAGGATTGAATTAAAATATCTTATATGATATTAATATAATACAGTAGCTATGCTTAGACTGGACTTAAAAAATGAAACACTAAAATGAAAATACCTGTAAATAATGACCATGATGTTTTAATACTGTATATTAGAACCCTATGTTTGAGGGCAGCATAAAACTGGACAAACAGAAGGAACAGGCCATGTGTTCGGCACTGGAGTTGTTGGACAACCAGTTATCACAAAACAAATACGTGGCCGGGAATAAGCTCACATTAGCCGACCTGTCGGTCATCAATGGCATCGACTATCTCACTGATGTCATGGACTACGACATCACCAATCATAGGGACTACAAGTTCGTGGCGGGCTGGCAGGCGAGGCTCAAGCGCCGGGAGTTACCCTACTATAGGGAGATATGCGAAGAGGGCAACGATAACCTCAGAAATTATGTCCGATCGCTAATCCACGACTCAAACACTAATCCGGCTGCCAAATAATCGCCTAATATTTGATAAATCATTTTAAAAATGCATTTAAAAAAGTAGACTAATATTGAAATTATTTTCAATTATTTGTCCTTTGATTTTAGGGTTTATATAAGAATTTGCATTTATAAATGGATATTATAATTTCAGTATTATTTGAAAATAAATTTTATTAAAAATTATGACACATTATATAAATATTTTAAGATTTACTGTAATTTTTATAGTAATTTTTAAATTAATAAGTAATTATAATAATTGCATAAAATTAAAGTTGAGCCAAGTTAAAATAATTAATTGATAATATATAGCAGGTTAATATATTCATATTCTTCGTACGTATACAATAAATACAACAAATATCAGTGCAATAGTCGCCAAAATAAGTGAACCTATTTTAGATTTAAATTTTAAAATTAATTGTGATGTATCTAATTAATTTGGTAGACTGACCCATGCAATCGTACGTATACAATAAATACAACAAATATCAGTGCAATAATCGCCAGAATAAGTGAACCTATTTTAGATTTAAATTTTAAAAATAATTGTGATGTATCTAATTAATTTGGTAGACTGACCCATGCACATCATGCAGTGTTTAACTATGTATTTAAAATCTCTTTTCTTTTTAGTTATGGATTCAATTGCTTTGCACTCAACGTTAAACAGTTGTATATTATTTGAACTGATTTTGTAAATCATTTCCGATGATGTGTTTGAATAATGAACTCGTGATGAATTGATATTTGTTTTCATAGTCTGTAAATTTCAAATTAATTCATTGTTAGAAATATAGTGCTTTTAGTGTAAAAGGGGAATTAATTTAGTATGACTTACGCTAACGAGTTATATAACAAAGATTATAAAAACATTTAAAATGATTGAACAGTATATTTATAAAATTATAAACTTTGAACAGAAGTTTTAATTATACATATAATGGTGTTCAATAGTATGACTGATACGTGAAGTTTTATTTAAACAGTTAATTAAATAGATATTAAACTTTAAAATATTTTATTCATTATCAGTAATTAAATATTTTACACATCTTATTATTACAAATGTTTAAGTTTTAAATTATATAAAGTATATTATTTTATATGTAATTTTATATTTAAATATTAGACACAAATTGAACCTGCATTAAATTATATTTGAAATATAATTCTTTTGTGAATTAAATAAAATTAAGAGTAAATGCAATATATTTGAGCCCTTTTATAATAAATGCGTGCAATCTTTAGAAAATATAAAAATAATTAGGAATTTTTGTGTAATTTTTAAGTGTAATATTACACCAGGCAAAATCTGCATTTTTATGTAATAAATATCTATGATATACTGTACAGTATACTACTGTATAACTATTTTGAGTATTTAACAAACAAAATTGTTTTTAATATATTTGATTTGATAACAATCCATACATCATTAATAACATATTTAACATTTTTCAGGTTTTGTTTTCAAAAACTTCAATGCCATTCAATTAGGTACCCTTTTGTGATAAAAATAGAAATATCTTTTAGTAAATTACCTGATTTTTAAATAATATTTAATACCAAAAATTAAGAATTACAATAATACTATAGATTCTATAGTATAGAAGTTGTAAATACAGTACAATAATTCATATTATTATTTGAAATTATTTGATTGTATTGATTAACTTATTATAAAATTTATTGATTTTATAATTTGTTTGGACTACCAGTTGGCACTACCCTTCGGTTCTTACAACTATAAAACGAAATTAAATGTCATTTTTAGTACATTGAATACATTAATTGTTACGTAAAGAATACATGCTAATTTATTTATTTAATCAGATTTTCTTATTATAAATACTAACTAATCAAATGAAACAAACAGA